ATGGTTTCGCTCTGAGCTATGCCGCCACAGGTTGACGATGTTGACATGTGCACTAACAAATGCCTCAGGAATGTCAGCATTTCCAATTCCGGTGTTTACCCATTTCCTTCACTCCAATCCGGTAGGTGGCAGATAATGTTCTGTCAGCCAAATCAGAAGAATGTCAATTGCAGGATTTGCATTGTAAACGGCTCTCTAGTTGCCACACTGCCGCTGCCGCCACGCACGACACCAGCCTTCCCATCTCCCTACTCTGAGTCCTTATGTTCCGTGATTTCTTCAGCAATTAAACACTAGTTATTTGCCAATGAAATGTGCTACCATAGAGCAAAAGGGCATTCTCACCCGTAGAAGCAGGGGAATCATCTTCAAGTCTAACGCATCAGTCTCCTAAAAAGAATGAAAGGATTCACTGACACATCGCACAAAACCGCAGTATTTTGCCAGATTATTTCTGATTTTAGTCTCTACGAGGAGTTATATTCACTACTGTAAACATAAGATTTGAACCAAAATGCAGCTATAAAAGAAAAAATGGTTTCTACCTCTTTCAAAGGCGACCGCTGATATTTTGGCTGAAATTGGAACTGGAAATGTGCTTTAAAGTTTCACCAAAATTCGTCCACATCACACTGCCTTTTTACACTAACCAGTCTGAAAGAATGCAGCCGTACTAAACCAACTGTTTCTTACCTCTTGGTTTCGGTGACAAACCACTTAGGGGTTACAACACTGCACCTCCGCCGAGCTGCCTTGCCTCTGAGTCATGCCAGTAGCCCCTAGCCCTGCCCTATGCCGACAATGCATATTCTGCCCGCGTCCTATGTCGCCATTCGTCTGCAGAGGAGCCTCGAGACGCTACACAACCACATGTTACGCTAAACGCATCTAGACGTGAATTTGGGAGCTATATCCAAGCTAAAAGTTGGTGCTCTTCAAAAAGCATTTCCATTGCTAACTGCTAAGTGGCATTCGCTTTTTCGCTTCCATTAATAGACAAG